AGGAAAACCTGGCAATTTGTATTGCTACTAGAAAAGGTACTAATGTTAATCAAAATATATCTAGAGCCAAGTGCAGGAACCAAGTTCTTTGGGAAATTCTGGCCATGGTACTTTGTGTGAGTGCTAAGTCAGAGAAGATGATCTGCTGCATATCTCTGTGCACCAGAATATCCCACCAGAATATTAGTTTGATGGCAATACACTGCAATTCCTAATTAGTAAAATTCTTACTCCATATCAGTAAAGGTAACAGAATCTGGCTCTGTATTTTCTTCAATGCAGATGCATAAAATTCTGTTATAAACAGTTCTATTTTAATTTTCCTTGTGTCAAACAGAAATAATTTTGTTAAACTCTGTATTACTGCAATCTGCATGGCACTCAAAAGTGTAGGAGATATTCAGAAGACATCTAGAGTTATCTGCGCAAAAGGCAGCTGTTGAACTTGGCAAACAGGAAGCAGTGAATCAAGTATGATGCAAAAGGTAAGACATGATAAGGACTTTACAGTGATCTTTTAAATCTAAACCCCAAGCATGCAAAGTCAACAACAAGCAATATGTTTTCAGATGTAATTTCTACGACGAGTTTCTTTCAAAGTCCATTCTTCATTATCTCCTTCAAGCTCCCTTATCCTACTGGAATATTCATTGGTAATGCCTTCTTAAAATCAAATTCTGCCTTATGGTTTCATTCCTTTTGTTAAGGCTTTCAGTGCTAGTTTTGGGATCATGAATGCTAAACATTAAAAATAAGTGAAGGCAGCCTTGCAACATTTTCACATATGATTCTCAACTGTCCAGTGTGTTCTGTTTTATCTCACTGTCATGTCTCTCCTTGACAGCACAGGCTCCTCACTTCAGTGGAACTAGCCTTTCTTACACTATGCAGAGAAGATAATGTCAAAATCATATTCAGAGCACACACGTTTTCTGCAACTTTCATGAAATGCCTTCAGTGACACAAAGCATTGCCCTCTTGGGAGCCATGGACAAGCTGGGGAATACACCACTATTGTAAATTCCCCAAAGAAATCCTACACAAGGAGGTATACAGAGCCAGACATTAGGACACTGAAACTCCCATATTGCATCATCTATTGATTATCCAACTGAAGGACCATCTCCAATTGTCTAACAAAAGTACATGTAATGCCTTCTTAAGTTAAAAATAGAATAAAGTTTCCCACCATGATGGACTCAGCCTAATTCATAATAGAGATTGTCTTAAACTGAAAACATGATGTTTGGCATGCCCTTTAAAAAATCCTGTCATTAATTATTATAAAAAACCAAATACTAGCATTATCTCAATTCTCCTTTATTTCTATTCAGTATCTCATTTATTCCCTGACAGAATGTTCCTCCTTTCATGGTGTCAGTGGATTCCAAAATCCACTTGGGTAAAAGAAACAAATTTGCCATCTTTCATCTTTCTTGAGCATCCCTTGAGTCTTGTAGTCTTAGAAATCTGGATCAGCTTTTTAAATTTTATTTAATACGGTTTATTCGTTTAACATACCTCAGTTTTTCTACAACAGGATTTAAAAAAAATTGTTGCTTTCTACCCCATTCTTCATCCCTCTTAGCATTCTGTTTGTTTTTATTTCAACATCAGATGGATGCTGAACAGGTCACTGGAGCACTGTTTACAGTGAAACCTCCATCCCTTTCTTCAGTGCAGCATTCAATTTTGTACCCTTTACAAATTAAAGTCATTCAAATTTAGCTCTGGCAAACACTACATAGCATTTATTAAGACTGAAATTTGAGTTGGCACCACCTCTTTATTCAGTTTGCTTTTGTCTGCTGAAATTCTTCATAGTCCTGTGTGAATTCTGCTAACCCACATCACCTATCATCATACTCAAGAGCTTCTACCTCAACACTGACGCTCAGCATATAATAATAAACCCTTAAGTGCATTAGCTATGATAAAAGCTGGCAGTTCACTTCTCTCTGGTTACTGTCTGAGAGGTAAATTTTGATCCAGAGTGATATTTGTCTCTCACCTCATAATTACTTCTTAACTGACTTTTAACCTATAGCCACACAGGCAATTGCGCTGGCACCATGGAGAGAAAGGTGAACTGTGTGTAAGGGGATCCAAGCAGCTAAGGGCAGTAGTTCTGAAATTCATTTTGCCACTTGATAAACTGCAATGTTAATTTGTGCTTTCAGTTTTGTTTGCATATTTTCAAGAGAGATCTGGAAAATTACTATTGCAAGTCTGAAAAATTATGTCACACTTTTTAGTTCAGTGAAATGTAATCTTTCTTTACAGAAACAGTGTTAACTATACACTATTTTATCATGGTATTATAGTCCTGTCATTTTATTCTATTTTCGTTGTTCTTGTTTCAACCAGTTCGCCTGACATAGTAATTTTTAAGTTCCTTGACCACTCTAGACCCTTTACAAATATATAGCCACAAGATTAGTGGAGTTTATCTGTCGGAAAATGTCTGGTTTTAATGCATATTGTTGCCAACAGCTGAGCTAAGCCCACCTAGTTTTCCTCACAACAATGGACCTAATGACTTATTGGGGTGGGGTTTTTTTGTTTGTTTTACTTTTAAGCTTTTGGTTCTACCTTTACACACAGAAATCTGACTTTAAACCTTGCGCAATAACCTTTTGTTTTCTTACTGAGACTGCGTGGGCTGGTGGAGTTAGAAGAATCAAGGCCAAACTGACGCATACGCTGTGGTCCACCTCTAGAAAGGCAATAGGTCAGTAAAGAGCAGTGAGTGCAGGACAGCTCAAGGGAACTGCTTAGGAAATGAAAGGACAAGGAAATGTTTCCTGACAGTTTACAAAGGATTAAGGTGCTGACTTTGGGCAGTCCTTACTTGATGAGAACAAACTAGAGTGCTTCCTGTCAGAAGTGAAAAACAAGAGATACTTATAGATAAACACTAAGGTGCCACAAAATGCAGCAAATAAAGTGGAAGACACTAACATTGTTTGATTACATATCCTTAGTTTTTGACTTTTCTAATTAATCTCAGCGCTTCCAATTTCCCTTTTACTTATTTATTGCCCATTCATTGTGGCTTTCCCTACAGCAGCATTTAAAATGTGAAGTATCTTTTTTCCTTTACTTAGAAAAAATGGCATTCAGCTGGCCTGATTTATGACCTTCCCTCATAGGTCCCATTTTATTTAGTACCTTGCAAGACCCAGTGATAATATTTTTAAGTAATATCCATGAAACATCTAAAGATTTTATTTAACTTATTTTTGACTCTCAGATCTATTCCATTAACTTTTTCCTAATATTGAAATTTCCTTTTCTGAATTTTAGTGATTACTCAGCCACTTCTCAACATCTTACCTCCTCTTCAGATTGAGAACTGAATTATATCCTAGTCACTAGTATTTAGTGTCTGTCATACTGTGAATTCTTAAATCACTTCATGCACTGAAATTTCAGTTTCTGTGGGTTAGAAGACTGGGTAAAAAAATTCCTCTCTCTGAAGAATTTCTAGTTCTCATCAGAGATATAAAGGTCTGGTATTAGTATTTTAGGAATAATTTGTGCTTTTCAGAAAACGGTTCTGCCTCTTCCCTGAGTGAAAAATTTCCCTTTCCTTTCTCACTTAGAAGGCACAAGTGCCATGTTATTGATAAAGTCCAAAATTTCATAAATAATAATCTCCTGTAGGTAGTTTAAGGATATAAAAGTTTGAGCAGAACTGTTCCTCATCAAAGTGGAAGCTAAGACTATTCACTGAATGAACTAG